GTGTGTGTGTGTGTGTGTGTGTGTGTGTGTGTGTGTGTGTGTGTGTGTGTGTGAGAGAGAGAGAGAGAGAGAGAGAGAGCGAGAGAGAGAGAACTTCTTCTTACCTTTGTTTGGAGTCTGATCGTCCATCCGTCCATGAATCCATCCTTCACTCAGATAATAATCCATTAGACGTTCACAGTGAAAACATCTCCTGGGATATTTTTTTTCTTTTTTGTTTTATTCCATCAGGTCATTTAAAAACTCCTTTTTTTGTTTCCAGGTCCATTTCATGGTCCATCCTGGAGTCCAGGTGAGTACAGGTGAGCTGTTTTTACATCCAGAGAGTCCTTGATCTCCGACTGGGACCCCACAAGCTCCAACACGGACTTTAATAATTACCTGTGACACATGTCTGCTCAGTAAGCATATTGGCTATCAGCCTAATACCGTTATCACAGGGTATGGAAGAAAAAAGGTGCCAAAATAATTTAAATTGCATATGTGAAGCTGGCGTTACAATCTTGCTGCATCTAAATACTTTATTTTGAAAAGCTTCTCAGTGTATGTGGTTTAAATTCCCCTTTAATTTTAGTTTCCTTACTGGAAACACAAGTTTTGATAATTTTTTAATAAATTTTAATAAGAAATAGCCATGAAATTTTGACTCTTTGTGCTTCAGTTTTTTCTGGGGTCACATTATTTCCATTAAAGTGCTGAAATGTAATAAAAATGTATTAATCGCTGTTTTACATTCATGCAAGTTAATTTTTTGTTTTCATTTGGCTTTAATTTTATGTGTTGAAATTAAGCAACTTAATATATATGTTAATATATATTAAGTTGCTTATGTTTATATATATGTATGTATATGTTTTTTAATCAACAAGTCTTCGATATTAATTTGAAAGTGCTTAAAAATTTTTCCTTTTGAAAATATTTTTTAATTTATATTTAGAGTGGGGAACAGAAATCACATAAAATCAGAGAGTTTGCCAGATATTTCAACCTTATCATCTGAACAATGAGTTGTGATGTGAAATTTGACATTTATTTTGTCCTTTTCGCACTGCCATATGCAGCCAATATGTAATAACAGTTGATCAAGTGACAAAAGTGAGTAAAACTTCAACTCAAATATTTGACTTTTAAATTTTTGTTTGTTTTCTGACTTTGAGTTTTATATTGATGAGAATTTCACTCGATTAAATTTTAGTTTTCTTTCTGTGTGGATTTCATTTGTCATGTTTTAAAATAATTCTGATGGTTTCACAGTTTAAGATTTTTATGTTACAAGCAACTTATGAAAAACTGAAATGTAAAATTAGATTTGAAACTAAAAGAATTTTGGCCGCACGGTGCTTCCATACAATAATCGCACTCTGCATTTTCATGTTTGCTTCAAATGTAAAGTGTTTTTTCTTCTGCTGTCCAAAGCACAAAAATATTGTTAGCAGATATACTGTCACTGTTTCTTAAATAGTTTTATGTATATTATATATATTTATCAGTATTGGTTGAGCTCTAAAACATCAAAAATATTACTAATATTATTCTAATAAGCTGCTAAAGGCGAGGATTTGAGGCTCTTCTCAGATTCTTAGATTTTTTTTAAACTAAAATACAGAGTTTAACGTCTTCATGTGAAGCTGGGGGAGTTTGTGAGCATTTTAAAGCCTAAAATAACGGAATCACTGTGTGTGTGTGTGTGTGTGTGTGTGTGTGTGTGTGTGTGTGTGTGTGTGTGTGTGTGTGTGTG